GGGTCCATCTAGCTGCCTTCCCAGCAGCGAGGGGACTGTTCCGTACCTGTGAGGGGAAGTCATCCATGGAGAGGAGGGCAGGGGCGCCGCTGCCGCCGCCGCTTCTTCCCGACGGGGGTCTCCACCTGGGAGGGGCTCTTGGGCTCTGGGCCAGCTGGAGGGGGACCAGGGAAACGCCGGGAGGTCTCCTTCTCTGGAGGCTCATTCTCAATGTTGCCAGGGGTGGGGGCTTCTGTGCTGGGGCTGCCTTCGTCCTGGGGAGGGAGAGAGAGCTGTTGAGGGGGTCCTGCTCTGGGCTCTCCAGAGCGGGGTAACTAACAGGCCAGCTTCTGGCAGCTCCAAAACAGGGTCTCCTCTGCTTCAGGAGGAACCCCTCGTGGGGAGAGGAGTGCCTACCTCTAGGACAAAGGTGAGCTGGCTCTGTCTATAGTCATCGCCATAGGAATCCAGGACCCTCATAAGGAATCTGTAAGGGAGACAGAGACAAGGAGTCCTTCCTACCCCCCGCTGGGATCAGGGCCCCGCTGGGACAGGCCCCGACGGAGTCACTGAGCATGGTGCACCAGGCTCTTACTTCCTCTCCTGCTTGAGCCGTCGCGTGATCTTCTGCACGTGGTGGAGCCTGTTCAACACCCTCTCGTTGACCTGGAACCAGGGACACAGACGCATTAGGCCACTGACTCACCCCAGGCCAGAACCCTCCCCCCAGCACCTCACCTGCCCCAACCGCAGCACCTCATCAGGGGTTGCCCCACGAGTGAGGTGAGTCTTGGGGGACTGTTCACCCCCTCCACCAGGGGTGAAGAATCATTTCTGATGGGAGGGCAACGCCAAGATTTTGGAAAGTGGTCGAGGGTCACACTCTTCCTGGATATTAATGGAGGAGGTGAGGGGTCTAGGGTGCAGAAGGGAGCTTGGGATAAGGGACTGGGGTTCAGGAGGGAGACTGGAGTCTGGGATGCAGTTGGGGTGAAGGAAGCAGTTAATGCGTAGGGCAGGGGACTGGGATGCAGGATTTTGAGATGTGACCTAGGCTAGGAGGGGATTGTGTGGGGCAGGAGATTGCGGTGCCAGATCTAAGAGGGGGTATGGGTGCAGGAGGGGGCAGAGGGCTGGGGAAGGGAGAGGCTGGGGGAGGAGGGGGAGGCGTGGATCAGAGGCAGGCTATGGCTGAAGGTGGCTCGCTGCTCCATGGGCTCAGCAGTTTTTTGGTTAGCGTGAGCTCTAATGAGGCTCCTGAGGTCGGAGTGCCACTGCCCTCCACGTGACTGTAACAATCTTGGCTCAAAGCCCGGTGAGAGGCCATTTGAAGACTCAGCATGCGGATCAGCGCGATCATGGCCAACACCCGGCAGCGAGGCAGGCTATGGCTGAAGGTGGCTCGCTGCTCCATGGGCTCAGCAGTTTTTTGGTTAGCGTGAGCTCTAATGAGGCTCCTGAGGTCGGAGTGCCACTGCCCTCCACGTGACTGTAACAATCTTGGCTCAAAGCCCGGTGAGAGGCCATTTGAAGACTCAGCATGCGGATCAGCGCGATCATGGCCAACACCCGGCAGCGTTACGTGCAGTGAGCTGAGACCACCACAGACGTGTTTCCGAGCTAAGTCTGGGGAACAGTTAGACCAGGTTCTCAAAGACCAGGGGAAGGGGATGCCCCAGCTCGGTGTCAATGAAGCCGCCGGGGCAGCACCTAGCAAGTGGCCAGTCTTGGGCAAGAAAGGTGGCAGAGACAGAGACCAGACCTACACTACAGACCCTGATGAATGTAACTCGGGGGCTGTGACTGGGGGGCTGTGGGGGGTAAGTCCGTCTCTTCAGCCGTTTGAGATTGCCACTCCATGCTGCCTCCCCACCTGCTCGATCTCCTTGCAGCGCCGGGTCAGTGCCTGGATCTTCCGGCGGCCCAGCTCGCGCTGCCGCCGCTGGCTCCCCCCCTC